TTAAATAGACTTATTAAGAAGGGATATAGTTACGATACTGTTGTCAGGTCATTAAAGATTGCATATTTTGGCGTTAATATTGATTCACTTATAGGGTCTCTGCATCGGCACTAAACACATTTATTAAAAAACCAGTTGTTGGCATGACACGGGTTATGTTCTTCTCATATATGTTATGATGGTATGATACTAAACCCCTAACGGGAAGGATTGTGCCTGATATTCATATGATGAAGACATAATCTTTCAATCAGTTTAGTTGAAGTCTGGAGCTGGCATGTCAGTTAACTGCTAGTAGTCTGTTGTTATTTATGTATTATTGTCATTTTGTTTATTTTCTTTGGTTACATCTTCTGACATCAGACTCGGACTTCTCTTGAACTGAATTTTAATGTGCGTATTGTTATGCGTTTACTTTTCTACATTGGCTAGAGGTATAGGGGGAGGGTTGAGATCTCATAAACATGTTTAACCCCGCCGCATTTTTGCGCCTGTCCCACGTCAGGAGCCTCTAGCCTTTGCTAGTCTTGTATTATTTTTAATTTTAGTTTCTTGTGTACAATTTGGAGTTTAGTATGACGTTCATTATCACTGAACTAGTATATATAATTGTTTAGGGGCCAGCTGAAGGACGCCTCCGGGTGCGGGAATTTCTCGCTGCATTGAAGACCTGTTGGTGACCTTCTGCTGTTGTCTGTTCTATGGTCGGGTTGTTGTCTCTTTGACACATTCCCCATTTCCATTCTCAATTTTACATAAATGAATCCACAAGTTGCTCTACAAGGAAACATAGTGCAATATGAAATTCAATTTGCATTGGTTCACATTTTTATTGATTTAAATGCTTCTTGTTACATGTGTAAGCATTGATGCTTTAATCATATAAGACTCCCTTCCATATTGGATATTTCTATGTTAGCTGATTTTCAATTCAACCACGTTGGCTGGTTTTGTATGCGGAACAATATATGCTTACGCTTTCAGAGCACCTGGCTTTATGGGATTACGTATTGCTCAAACCTTAGTTTTCAAAAATGTGTATACCTGACCACCTGATAGACTAAGTGTAAGCTTGTTGGTATTTTGAAGTTGTCTTGTAATAGTCTTGTAAAACAGGAAGTATCATTCATTCTTTACTAGATTTGCAATTTCTGTTTAGAGTTACAATGGATATCGATGAATTCCTAGCCTATTAAAAATTTCAAATTATCAAAATTCTTATTTGTTCGGATAAATATAACAGTGGAAAAAGATATTGTGCAGTTCTCAATATATGATAACTATTTCAAACGTTTTATTTATTTCTGTTCAGTTCAGATAATTGAACAAAGTTAATGTTATCGGAATGCTACAAGGTCGTCATTGTTCATGAACACATAAGATGGGGCAAGAGCTAAAAAAAACATGAAAAATCTGTGTGCCGAGTTGAGTATCACCGGATATCTTGAAAAGCATTATTTTAATAAGATTGTGACACACGTTATAAGTAAACACATTTGGTTTGTAAATCTGAGACAGTTTTTTAAGATGTACACTTTCCCACACAAATATTCCATAAACCGTTTTGTGTGAACGTGTTTCGGACTTGAACTGAACGTGTGCGTACAACTAGGAACTAGGATCATTAAAATGGAAACTTCCAAATTGCTGAAAACAAATTCTGTCACATGTGCAAAGATTTGGTTTAGAGGTTTTGGTATGCGTGTACAAAACGGGACATCACGAGTAAGCGTTTAAGGTGAAACTCTGTAATAAGGTTGTAGTAAGTATACAGTTTATTGAAGATTACTAGAAAATTTAATTAAAGAATTCTTTAGATTGCCAGTATAATATTGCTGCAAGTTCTAGCAAACTTATCTGTATCGACATATATAACACTAATTTTATCAAATAATTGTTTTACGTAAGTAAACCATTCATAATATATACCGTCTTTACATGTATTCTGCTAAATTTTGGCATGGTGCAAAGTGAAACCCTTTTTTAGTTTCTATGATTGTATGTTTTGTACACTTAATAAAAAAAAAACGGAAATTAGCAAATATTAATGCACATATGCAATTTATGTGTTAGACTATTTTTTATTAATTGACAAGATTCACATTATTTTATCTTATGTTTGTAAATTTCTATTGCAAATAAAGAGTTAGACATTTTTGTGATTTTTTTAATCACATACTACCTTAAGTGCGATTAAGAAGCTAAGAAAAATTCAATTGATGGTTCAATAGGCAAACCGAAAAGGTAAATTATTCATATGGAAGGGCTTTTTTTTTGTTAAGAAATTGTCTTTCCATTTTTAACAGTCTGTAATTGTTTGATGGTTTTGTTCTATACTACATGTATATGTGTTAGAGGGTTTAAGAACTGTATTCAAAAACGGTATACAATGTTTACACCGAAAATGTAACATTGATTTTGATAACATAGATCTTATAGTACTACTTATTTATTGAGTGTATACAAGGATATTTTATTGATAAATCTCATTGTTGTTATATGTATCAATGTTTTATCACAGTTTTACAGAGATTATTAATCTTAAGGTTTAAATCAAGTCTAAGTAATTATATATAGAAATTTTATCATTTATCAGCAAAAAGTTTAGATTTTGGCAATTAAACTAGAAAAAAAAGATAGTACAGCGATTCATATTGCTATACAAAAGCAGTGATATGGTATGAATTTGATGACAGAAAACTAGACACAACTAAGATTGCATTCCAAATCCATAACTATAAAACATATTCTGAAAGTCTTACTTCATCTGGAAATGAGAAAATGACACTATTCCTGTATTATCAAAATTAATTGCTCTTTTTTTTAACAAGAGAAAAGATAAATAATTATGTATAACTTCAATGTAAATCAGATCAGATGTAGTCGTCTCATATCTTCGTGGCTGACGCCCTTCTGATATGAGAAGACTAAATCTAATACATAATATACACAGTTGAAACATTTGACGTTATCAAAATTATGTAAGGTTATATAGACGATATGTATTTGGGTTTTCTTTCACAACCAATGAATTGAAAAAATTAGTGGCAATATCTTATTTGAGGAAACAAAATTTGATTTTAGGCCGGGCAGGGTGGTCATTGAAGAAATTGAGAAAAAAGTCATAATTGAAAATTGGTGGAAAAAATCAGGACGTGTATGATTTAGCAGCCAGTGTGTCGAAAAACAGTACCTACATATAATATCAAACTAACGCTTCATATTATTCTGTATTTGGCTCATCAGATGTACATTGGAGTCATCCTTTCGGAATATTTACGGACGCTGATCATCATGTGTTGGACCGTCACGGAATATCTATGCCACAGATAAGCATGGATATGTTCCAATTTGTATGATATCACCTAATGCAACTTATCGCCGATCTTATTTGCCATATTTTTGGATTGGTTTTCTTGTTGTTCTATCTTTAGTTTTCTGTGCATTGTTTTGTTTTTGTGTTTGTCTGTTCGTCGATTTTCTTTTTGACCATGGCGTAATCTGTTTTTATTTGACTTATTATTTTCCCCTTGATGTCTTCTTCACCTTTTTTTATCGCCAGAACTCATTTTCATCTAAACACCTCACTATCAATCATAACTAAACAAATAAACAACCATATCATTTGAACAAATATATTTTCAAAACTAAAGTATTATAACTAAAATTTAAATCAAATAAACATAGGTACTCAAAATGTAGTCAACTAATGTGCCACTGCAAAATACACTTTTTCCCGTTTTATGTAGAATAACGCTAAATGTACGTACTTTTGTAAAAGCAATTAATAATCAACAAGAAATCTTGACAACTATTTGATTTAGTTCAGCTCATCATTTTCAACGATTTATGTGATTTGTGTACTTTTTCACTACCTCAGTTTGTTGTGTAATTTCTCTATCGACTTATGATTTTTGATCGCACCCCTTGTTTCTTCCCCTCTCTTGTTTCTCCCCCTCTCACTGTAAGTCTATATCTAGCTTGTTAAATTGTTATTATATTGAGTTGAATATGAGATAAAAAACAACATCTCAACAAATATTTGTCAGAATTGAATATATTTCTACAAGCCACTAGTAATCGAACTTATATCTGGTGTTAGCTTCCAGTTTATGTAAATACTTGATGGATACTGTATATGCTTAATATGAATAAGAAGATCTGGTATGAGTGCCTATGAGACAACTCTCCATCCAAGTCACAATGTATAAAAAGTTAATAATTATAGGTCAAAGTACGGCCTTCAACACGGAGCCTTGGCTCACACCGAACATCAAGCTATAAAGGGCCCCAAAATGACTAGTGTAAAACAATAATGTTCCATCATTGTGAGAAATAACTATACTTACAACTTACAACTCCCGTTAGCGCCATGTGTCGCATAATAATCGAAAATAACTAAAGTTCCAAAGAATTTTTAACAATAGTTCTTGCTCTTGAAGGTCTCAAAAATGATATGAAAATGCAGGTGTGGCATAAATCTGCCAATAAGACCATTATCCACCTGAGACAAAATGACGTAATATTTGTTTCATTTCTAATTACTATAAAACCGATCGGTTGACTATTCTACATATTGCAAGTTTGAGTATTTGTGAAAAATTAAGAGCAGCAACTTATAAAACAAAGTTCGGCTCTAGATTGGAACGAGAATATTATAAGATCCCAGATCGCCTCTATATGCTTTTTCATTCCATGGCAATGGAAGATACTTTTGAGTTTGAAGAGAACTTTTACCAGACGCAAAGGTCACAAGCGGTAAGAGCTATACAGGTATTATTTGGCAGATAATGTTCACTAAGATAAATGTTGATTTTAAGATATTTTCGCACCCCTCCCCCCTTTTCTCCCTTTTCTACAGTGGAAATTGGGTTTGCATTACCTATGAGTCCCCTATTCAACGGTTTTTATTGTGACCAGTTACCCGTTCATTTGCCACCTGTATTTTTATATTTGATCAGTCAGCCGACACTGTTTAACTTATGATAATAAAGTTTAACATATGATAATAAAATCAATCAACTATCATAACAGGTAATTTACTTCCCGTTTAACCGTAAACAAAATAAGGTAGGTTTTTACTGAAATCTGATTGTTTCCTCCTTCATTGCAACAATAAAAATTTACTTTTTCCACTTATAATTGATCAATCGCTAATTAATGTGACAGTCAACATGCAAATGTATAAAATAAGTTTGATATGCTTGTCTTGACACATGTTACTTTCAGTTTACGTATAGTTCAGACACCCTATAAAGTATCATTAGTACCTTTTAATATGTGCTTCAGTGGCAACGATCAAGTTATTGTATCCATCCAGTAGATACCTAATCAAAATTACAGAATATTTTTTTGGCAAGCAACATTATATCTTTTTATAGATGAGTTGAGTAGGCTATCAAAATTATACCAGAATTTCAGCATTGCATGAATTAAATATTTAAAATGTTTATTGGAAATAACCTTCATTTTTTAAGGCCATATTCAACATTAAAACTCTATCTACTACATATACACAACAAATCTTCGTGATGCATTAAACTATCATCCAGAAACGCTTCATACATCACAACCAACAAAAACAAAAAACAAAAAACAAATGTCATCTAGAAACACTTCATATATTACACCCAACAAAACAAGAAACAAATATCATCTAGAAACATTTCATACATCACACGCAACAAAACAAAAAATAAATGTCATCTAGAAACACTTCATACATCACAACCAACAAAACAAAAAAACAAATGTCATCTAAAGGTCAACGTACGATTTTCATATGGTGGCCTTGGGCTGTTTTCTGGTCCTTGGTAGGGTTGTAGTCTCTTTGACACATTCCCCATTTCCATTCTCAATTTTACATATGTCAAGCTTTAATTCACAATGTTGTGGACAATAGAAATAAGAAGATGTGGTATGAGTGGCAATGAGACAACTCTCCATCCAAGTAACAATGTGTAAAAAGTTAACAATTACAGGTTCAACACGGAGCCTTGGCTCACACCGAACAGCAAGCTATAAAGAGCCCCAAAATGACTAGTGTAAAACAATTCAAACAAGAAAACCAACTGTCTAATCTATATAAAAAAAATGAGAAACAAGAAACACTTATGAACCACATCAACAAACAAAACCACTGAACAACAGGCTCCTGACTTAGGACAGGTGCAAACAAATGCAGCGGGTTTAAACGTTTTAACAGGCGCCAACCTTCATTCTAACATGCAACAGTAGTGAAACATTACAACATAGAAAGACACACTGTTGAGAATGGTTTAAATGCAGAATAAATAATTCCTTAAATGGCATTAAAACATTAAAATATAATTACTAAAGTTTCCTGACTTCGGACATTCATACGACCATGTTGAGGTGTTAAACTAGTTTATGAGGACTCTGTCCTCCATCTTTTAATTTCAACATAAAACCAGTTTAGAAAAATCCCTTTAACTATAAAATACCGGTTCAATAGACACCGAAACCACAAGCACAAGTCAGATAATGGCTTTCTATGTCTTTTATCATGTATGGTTCTATCTTTTTCTATTTCAAGTTATACAATATGGCTTCAGACAAGACTATGCTAGTCGCAGCAATAGATTTTGGCACCACTTATTCTGGCTACGCATTTTCACTTCGACATACTTACGAGAAGGACCCGCTGAAAATTCACGCAAACCAAGCTTGGAATGCCGGTGGTCGACAGCTTATGTCATTGAAAACACCGACATGTCTACTGCTAGACGACAATAAAAAATTTGTATCATTTGGATACGAGGCAGAAAATGAATACGCAAACCTGGCTATGGACGGAGAACAGAATAAATATTACTATTTCTACAGATTTAAAATGAAACTTCATAATAATAAGGTAAAATTGATGATGTTGCATTTCTGTTTGGTTAATTAATGTTTGAACTGACATTTACACAATTAACGCAATAACTTTAGTTTCATTTGGGGAAAATAATTTTCTAAAGATTTATGTAATTGTATGCTTGTAAGTTTTCTAATAATGGATAATACTAACAAAACAATTAATTACAATTATTCTAATAAAAATCCGGTATAGATTCAAGAGGGGCGCATCCAGCTATCTCCCGCACACACAACCTAAAATATGAAAAATATGAAATCCAGGTAGATATACAGTCTATTTTGTGTCAAAATAAGGTCCTCTTTATCCTAATTCTCATTCCCCCCCTCCCCCCAAAAAAAGAAATAACAACATCAAATCCTGAATCCGCGCCTGGAAAAAAACTTATATTTCATCCATTGTACAGTTTGTTACTCTTTGTAGCACATTACCAGCGATATGGCTGTAGAAGATATAACCGGGAGAACCCTTCCAGCAATAGATGTATTCTCTTTATCCATCAGAGCATTAAAGGACCACTTGCTTGAGGAATTAGAGAAACAAGGGACTGGACTAAAAGTTGATGAAATAAAATGGGTTCTTACAGTACCCGCAATTTGGTCGGATTCAGCAAAGCAGTTTATGCGTGCTAGTGCTGAAAAGGTATTATTGAAAATATATTTGCGTGATGTTCTATAGTTTTTTCTTTTGTATTCATAGAAATTATGCGGTTCATTTATCTTAATCTGTTATATTGTTTATCAAAACAATTTGAATTTATTAAGCAGCTACCCCTGTTAAACCTTAAAATGAGCTTCCCTCAAAACCATCAAAAATTGATTGCAATTTGTGGGGATTTTTTTTCTACATGCGTTTTACTGTCGCTCCTATTCTTCCGTGCAAACTTTTTTGGTATGTTTAACCCTTTGAAATACATGTTGTGAGTACGCTACTGGTCAGCTACTTGTAATAAAATTGAGAATGGAAATGGGGAATGTGTCAAAGAGACAACAACCCGACCACAGAACAGACAACAGCAGAAGGCCACCAACAGGTCTTCAATGCAGCGAGAAATTCCCGCACCCGGAGGCGTCCTTCAGCTGGCCCCTAAACAAATATATATACTAGTTCAGTGATAATGAACGCCATACTAAACTCCAAATTGTACACAAGAAACTAAAATTAAAAATAATACAAGACTAACAAAGGCTAGAGGCTCCTGACTTGGGACAGGCGCAAAAATGCGGCGGGGTTAAACATGTTTATGAGATCTCAACCCGCCCCCTATACAGAAAACGTCAAATTCAAAATTGTGTTGCACCACTATTTTTACTATAACGTGTATAATGAATATTTCCAAGACGTTGTAAATATGTATAAATTAGAGATTATAATTACAGGCAGAAATACCTGGAGAACGACTTCTGATAGCATTAGAACCAGAGGCCGCATCTATATATTGTCAACATCTTCCTATAGAGAAACTTCAAGGAGCTGGTACTGGATTTACAATGTCCAGAAAAGGAACAAAATTCATGATAATTGATTTAGGCGGTACGTTTTATTTATGAAATTTGTATCAAAAGTAACTCTACAAAGATCGATTATGTATCAACGTTCCATTTCGAACATAGTAGCTGTTTTCATACTATTTTCGTTAGATTAATTCAACATTTAAATCATGCATTAAATGCATATCTTTGACTTGTGGTTAAATCAAACACTGTCTCCTTTATTATGCTCTTAGTTTTATTTAAATTTGCTTTTCCCATGCATTGGGATTTTCGATCTATTCTTCAACATTTTTGAAGAAAAAAAATCTAAATTATTACTATTAATAAAATTTATTTTATGGTAGGTGGTACTGCTGATATAACTGTCCATGAAAAACTTGATGGAACAAGACTGAAGGAATTGTGTAAAGCTTCGGGAGATGCATGTGGAGGGACATCGGTTGACAATGCATTCTTCCAAACATTTGTGAAAATTCTTGGTGGGCCAGTAATGAGAAAACTACAGAAAGAGTACACATCGTCTTACATGGATCTTTTTAGAGAGTTTGAGACAGTGAAACGAACTATTAAAACTAGCACATCGGGGAAAGTTAATTTTACAGTCCCATACGTTGTTTTGGATCAAATCTGTAAGGACAATTTGGACGAAGATTTTCCAAAAACAGTAAAGGCATCAACACTTGCAGACAAGTTATCTATTCTCGGCGACAAGATACGTTTCGATGCTGAATTTATGAAATCACTTTACAAACCAACAATCGATAACATCATTGCGCATGTTAAGGATGTGCTTCGAAAGAAAGAATCAAGCGATGCTAAAACTTTTCTTCTTGTGGGTGGATTTTCCGAATCGCCAATGATTCAAGAGGCAATCCGAAAAGCATTTCCCAATATACGAGTAATCGTACCAGAAGATTCTGGTATTTCAGTTCTTAAAGGAGCTGTGTTGTTTGGCCATAGACCAGATTTTATATCGTCTCGTATTGCAAGATATACTTACGGTGTTAAGATCACGCCGGAATTTGATCCAGCAAAACACGATGAAAGAAAAACATTCAGAATTGGGAATGTTGCACATTGTAATGATGTTTTTAGTAGTTTCATGAAAGCAGACACGTCTGTACTAGCAGGTCAAAAGGTCATGGAGGTTTATACCACGACTACGCCCTTGCAGTCACAAATGGGATTGCGTGTGTACTGTACACCACTTGAAGACCCAAAGTATGTCGATGATGATGGATGCTCTCTTCTTGGCGAATTGGACGTTACTGTGCCTAACCCGTCACTCGCAGAGCACCACTTGGCTGTCGAATTTCACTTTGGAAATACTGAACTAAGCGTAACAGCAGTGGAAATTCCGTCCTTAACACCATGCAAGGCAAAATTTAAATTATGATTTCAACATCTTCCTTCCTTTTTGGACGGTTAACCATTCATGAATTTGTATATGATCATAACAAAGGTGTATTAGATTCTTTCCATATTTGTTCTGTTTTATTGATATCACATGAAAAAAGTAAAATAACTAAAATACCGAACTCCAAGGAAAATTTAAAACGGAAAATCCCATATCAAATGGCAAAAACAAAAACTCAAACACATCAAACGAATGGAAAACAACTGTCATAGTCCTGACTTGGTACAGGCATTTCCTTATGTAGAAAATGGTGGATTAAACCTGGTTTAAAAGATACAAAAATAAGTTATCATCAAAGTCTCGCCAGAAAATATGAAAATACAAATATAGTCCCTAGCCCAGTGTGGACAGTGAATAACTTGCATTTTTTTCAACAACCTCCAAATTTTTTTTTTTAATATTAGTAAAAAAAATATTAAGGAGGATCATGAATTTAAAGTAAAGTAGTGATTTGGTCCAGTTGAATAAAGGTCAAAAATCAGTATATTTGAAGCAGTCAAACTGGATTTTAGACCCCTTCACATATAGTCCATATAGTTAGAGCTGGTAGACTTTTCTATAAACTCATCATAGATACCAAGATTACAACTTTGCACGCCAGACGCTTTCGTCTACAAAAGACTCATCAGTGACGCTCGAATCAAAAAAGCTAAACATTTAAAAAAGTAAGAAGTATAATTTTGATGTCATTTGTCCCAAAAGTTGTACAGAATACTGTAAAAATCTTATTGAAATAGAGCAGGTGCAATATTTTTAATTTGCATTTATTTTCGGAAAGAAATGCACAACGAAATAATTGCGTTCCAGGGCCATTTGTAAGGAAATGCTGAAGTTCTCTACAATCGTCCAGAAACAACGAAGAATCTAGAAATAAGACGGTAAACAACTACAAAAAGAATCCAGAACACATACGTACACTAAAAGGACTGATTACTAAATCCCGTGCATGTGAATCGATGAGCAAAAGTCTGAACGAAAGTCTGAATTCAAATATTCAATAACCCCTGAACAACACTGAAAACTATTCAATATAATATGATATAGCTTCACAACTCCTAACATAGAGTGCATTTCTTTCTAACACAAACGATGCAAACGGCTAAGCGCACATGTTTTGATCATTTGTTTCTAACATACGTTTGCATAGTTTACATAAATTTTGACAAACTATGCACTCGCTAAAAATGCGTCTACAGTTTGTCGTTCATCGTTTGTTAGTACAAACGCTACATTTGTTTCTAACTTCAACCTGATTAAACGATGTATTTGTTTCTACGTTTGCAAAAAGTCTGTTTACCAACAACATGTACATGCATAATTGGAAGTTCATCCAGGGACAGTAAACACTGATTTAACGATGTATTTGTTTCTACTTTTGTAGCGTTTAGTAAACAACAACAAACGCCACACAACGTTTACAAAATTTTGGTTAGAAAGAAATGCACTCATAATATATAAATATATCCATACACGCAAACTTATTGTACACAAAGGTGCTGACGGACGGGCTGTTCAAGAGTTTTGAAGGACATCCACCGAAGGTTGAAGGGGCTCTGAAAATGTATCATTAATATTTTATAAAGAATTTCATTGTCGTTGCTATTCACTATTACCTTAACCATTTTATGAATTATTTATAAGAATAAGATTTTAAAAACTCAAAACACACGGCCGCGGTAATCAACAAACTATGTGACGTATTCGCTGTTTGTCGAAAGTTTTATTTCTAATACTGACGCCAAGTAGTTTTTAATTCATATCATCAAGCTAACAGACTCGAGAAGTTTTAAGTATTTCATTTGAAATGCAAATTTCTTTTATTTCCTGACTACACATGATAAGACTTCAGGGACAAAATAGAACTTGGCCTGTTTCCATTTGAATCATAAAACCATGTTTGGTTTGTATTTACTCAATCTCAATATATACGTCCTATAATATATAGTCTGCAACAAATGTTCACATACTGAAATGTCTCGCCTGCACTAGTAAACAAATTTTGATCTGAACAGCTCTTAAAGACTGAACAATGAATTATTAAGTTATTTTCAGTCTTTCAGTCAATTTCCATACTTATCCACTGCGGTAAATTCAGTTCCGCTTGCAGTCGATGAAGATTTGTTCAGTCTATGATCAGACTGTTCAGTAGTTTATATTTACCTGTACATGTCAAAATCATACTGAATTGTCTGAAAAGCAACTGGACAGTACTGAATTGACTTGTGACTGAATATTATGCTGAAAGTGTATTTATATATAGGTATAACAGAAAATAAACATCATTAAAGTTCTTTGAAAAATAAGATCAAGATCAGAAAAACCCTGTCAGATGCACCTTACAATCATTCTATACACTCAAGTGATATGACCTATTACATATTATACGGTATCTGGGAAACGGACCTTATCAAAAAAGCTTAAACGTTGCCCAAAGAAACCTGTATATGAGATCAAATGAACTCAATCATACGGAAATGTTCACCTCACAATCATTCTATACACTCACATATTGGTATCTCGAAATATTATATATGAAACGGTTTTAACCACAAAGCAGGAATTGACCAATTTACCATGACATTGAGGTCATGCATGGTCAAATGAGCACTGTCAGCAGACAGGCATGTCCAATTAAACATTTTTCTACATATCGAATATAGTTCACCTTTTATAAATCAGGCGGAAACCCAGTTGAAATTAAACAAAAGAAATGGAACTCTTTGTTAGAGAAGGTCAAAAAGGCCAAGTTGGTAAATTTGAATGGTTTACAACTGTTTCTATGGGCTTTTAAAGTTTAATGAATGTGCCTAATTTAGGATTTTATGCATCTTATGTATGTGTTTTTACTTAAATTATGGTATGGAGCTTCGAGATATTTGTAAACTTTTAAATTATAGACAAATTTTCACAAAACAGTCGATTGTGGTAGGTGCAAATACATGTAGATCTTTTTTGTGCATAACTATATAAATTCCGCCGAAAAAAATTCCAAAAGAAAGATAATAGATTGATCTTATTAAAGCATTAATTTGAATTTTTGCTCCCGGCGACAGTTTTTTGTGAAAAAAAAACCAAAATGGGCGATAATTTCATCGAAAAGAGAAAGTGAGTACACGTTTTATGTTCAACGTGTTTGAGTTTACTACTCTGTCTTCAAACCGTATAAAATAAAAATATATGATACATCATCTCGCTTCAGATTCTATTATTTTTATATATTTAGGCTACAGGTTGATAAAATAATATTAAAACTTGATGATTTACAGTACTAAAAAATGAAATATGTGGGTCAAGTGAAATACCTTTCTAATGAGTCATAGCAACAGAGTATGTATGTTCGAATAACAAATCTTTACTAAAAGTGCTTGACAACAGACTTTTCAAGTGGATCTTAAAAATGCATAACTTAAAAAAAAAATTATTTTTTGTGTGTGTTATCTAGGGTAACCGACTGGAACAAACTACCGGATAACATTGTAAATTACACTTCAGTAGACTCTTTCAAATCTTCAATTCCAAAGCATCAATATTAACTCAACTATTACATCATACTTAATTATACAAAGCTTTTTTTCATTTTTTCGTATTTTTTAAAGATTGTATATATATCAATCTATTTCTTGTTGTAAGTTTCATCCTGTGACATAATCTTCAATTTGTTGAAGGCGGTCACTATATGGTAGAAAAAAAAATAGAATAGAATAAGTCTTCAACCTCTGAAAATTTATGTCTGCCCTTCCTCGAAATATTTAATTAGAATTTTTAAAAATATTTTTGAACTTTCAAAAATTCACCCTGACAACCGATCAGACAATAGTTTTAAGTTGACCTAATTCATAAAAGTACATTAGATGATGCTCAATAGCTAGTAGATACATTTGTCTTTTAAAATACAACAGGCATATAAGGATCGTAATGGTGCTATGTGGATAAATTTATCGGTTTTCAAGAGCTAAATTGACAGCGCGTCATCACTACAATGGCTTCCATTTTTACGGTTTTAAAAATTAAGTTGCGTAATGGAGAGATAATTTTTACGAAGTAGAATCTTGACTGAAATAGTATCCGATAAACGGACCTAATCAATCAATCACACGCAAAAAAGTGCACCAATGAACTTTAATAATGAGTTCGAGGAAAGATGAGCGCTGTCAGAAGGACACAACACCTATCGTCTTATTCAACCTGAACAGTTGACCTATTGCTTAATGATTCGGAGAAAAGGTCCTCATCACAAAAGCTTAACATTGGCTAATGAACCATAAAATGAGATCAAGGTCAGGTGAACCCTAAGACTTTTACACATTACTCACAATATATTATCAGTGACCGGTTGGAATTGATAGTAAACAACATTATTTCTAGTATATGTATGTTAATATAACACAGAAAAACGCAAAAATAATTGAAATTAATAGAAAATAAAATAACGGACTTTTGAAGTAAGATGGAAGGGCTAAAAAAAAATGACCTGTTCCCAAGTACCTATGGTTGGACCATGAAAATGAGTTGAAAGTCAGACTCAAAATAACTATTACTAATAAACAGACCTTAAGACACGTGTATTAACGTTAAAAAAATGAACCATGAAAATAAGGCCAAGGTCATGTGAATTCTCGGAAACTGTGGAAACTTACAACTTCCAATAATTCTAAATATCATTTGTTGCAGGTGAGACAATACAATTAATACGTTTTCAGACAAGTTCAAGTTTTATAACTAAAAGTGTTACATGTATTGAAGGTTATGAATTTGGTGATGTCTCAGTGTTAGACAGAAGACATTTGCACTTCCGTTATTGGATAATGCATCATCATGGAATATTGCTCAGACATGTTGATCAAAGTAAATAAGCAGGACTATCTGGAGAGAAAAACTCATCGAATTAATACTCGGTTTTGGTCAAGTTCGTGTAAATCAATTTTCAGTTTTCTGTGTAGTGTTTTGTGGACTGTTGTTGTCTTTTTATCATTTTTGTTGACATGGTGTTGTCTGTTTTTAAGTGAGTTTTTATAGTCCCTTTCGTATCTTCTCCCTCTTTTAAATTAGCATCTGAAATCTTAACTTTGATGTAAAACCTAGTATACGTAATGTGTTTTTAAAACTTAATCTGTCAATGAACTGTGAAATATTGATCATGTAATAAATTTATATCACATGACCGGTGCTACTGGTTCTGCACAAATAATTATATGGTCTGTTTATGTATTTTAGTGTCTTAGAACTGATTATAGATGGGCACACACACGCAGAAGTGTCACTGTACACGATCTAAATCCAACAGTCCCATCAACGTCATTTACCAGCACTAAAAACTTTATGTTGAACAAAAAGTTAAATCACAAAAATACTGAACTCCGAGGAAAATTCAAAACGGAAAGTCCCTAATCAAATGGCGAAATCAAAAGCTCAAACACATCAAACGAATAGAAACAACTGTCACATTCCTGACTTGGTACAGCCATTTTCTTATGTAGAAAATGGTGGATTGAACCTGGTTTTATAGCGCTTAACCTCTCACTTGTATGACAGTCGCATCAAATTCCATTATACTGACAACGATGCGTGAATGAAACAAAGACATGAGAATATAGGGGTACAGCAGTCAACACGGTGTCACAATCTTAATCACAACAAAACAAACAAATATTTAACAAGGAAGCACAAAAAAGCATATATCACATTTAACAAAAGTTAATGAGATATCTACAAATTAAAGATAAATTATTACAACTCAAGAACAATAAAAGTTGATCTTAGTTTTGTGGTAATAAGTATTGTGTATAGGTTTTATGTTTGGTTGGAGCAAACTTAAGTTACAGAACGGAAACAAAAACTTTTGCAATTTTTCGATTTATAAAGGGGCATAACTCAATAATGGTTAAAGTGACACTACCCAATACAACTTGTGTTTTATCAGTGGAAGGCAAATAAAACATTGCATTGTATAAAGCATTGATTGTAGTTGATTCAACTATAATCATGGACAAAGGAAGAAAACTCCAATTTTAATAAAATGCTTCGCTAGGCGCAGCTTGATACGATCGCAGAGGTCGAACCCTGAACAGTTGGGGCAAGTATGGACACAACATTCAAGCTTGATACAGCACTGAATTTGGATTGTGATTAAATATTTGACACAGCATAGGTTTCTGACACAGAATGAATGTGGTCTAGGAACTTAAAAAATTTTTAATTTACCTATTCAAACCATATCATTATTATCTGCTTTTATATATAAATCAGAAATAACCTATTTAAAATGGAAAATTTTAAAGAAAAAAAAGGAAAAAATAATCCCCCCCCCGAATTTTTTGAACCCCCTTATGATTCATCACCCCCAAACTCAATCCCAGCCTTCCCTTTGTGGTATGGTACCTTCAGTACAATTTCAGAGAGATCCATACACTTGAACACAAGTTATTGTCTGGAAACTAGAAAAATGCTTGTTTTTTTGCCCCTTTTTGGCCCCTAATTCCTAAACGTTTAGGGCAATACCCCCAAACTCAAACCCAGCTTTGCCTTAGTGACATGGAACCTTGTAGTACAATTTCATAAAGATCCATACACTTACACACAAGTTATTGTCCTGAAACTAGAAAAATGCTTGTTTTTTGCCCCTTTTTTGCCCCTAATTCCTAAAGTTTTGAGGCAATTACCCCAAAAAATCAATCCCAGCCTTCCCTTTGTGGTATGGTACCTTGCAGTACAATTTCAGAGAGATCCATACACTTGAACACAAGTTATTGTCTGGAAACTAGAAAAATGCTTATTTTTGGACTCTTTTTGGCCCCTTATTCCTAAACGTTTTGGGCAATTACCACCAAACTCAATTCCAGCTTTTCCTTTGTGATATGGAACCTTGTAGTACAATTTCAGAAAGATCCATACACTTACACACAAGTTAGTGTCATGAAACTAGAAAAATGCTTGTTTTTTGCCCCTTTTTTGGTCCCTAATTCCTAAAATTTTGAGGCAATTTACCCCAAAATCAATCCCAGCATTCCCTTTGTGATATGGAACCTCGTGGTACAATGTCAGAGAGATCAATACACTAACACACAAGTTATGTCTGGAAGTTACAAAAATGTTTATTTTTGGCCCCTAATTCCTTAACTGTTGGTACCATAACCCCCAAAATCAATCCCAACTTTCCTTTTGTGGTATTGAACCTTATGGTAAAATTTCATAGAATTCCATTCACTTAAACTAAAGTTAGAGTGCGAAAACCAATGTGTCTTCGGACGACGACGACGCCAACGTCATACCAATATACGACTGCAAAATTTTTTTGCGGTCGTATAAAAATTACTTGAACAATGACATCATTGATATTTTTAGAAGAAAAATGAAAAATTTAGCAATTTTTCCATTTGTAAAGGGGCATAACTCTAGAACAGTAAAAATGACGCCACCAAAATTCAAACTTGATCTGTGTATTGTGGTAATAAGCATTGTGTATAAGTTTCATAACATTTGGTCGAGGCAAACTTAAGTTAGAGAACTGAAATGAAAATTTTTTCAATTTTTCCATTTATTAAGGGCATAACTCTAGAACTGTTAAAGTGACACCACCAAAATTCAAACTTGATCTGTGTTTTGTGGTAATAAGCATTGTGTATAAGTTTGATAACATTTGGTTGAGGCAAACTCAAGTTAGAGAACGGAAACCAATTTTGCGACATACAGGCGTACGTTCGTACGGACAGACGGACAAGGGTAAAACTTAATGCCCCCTCCACTTCGGCGGGGGAATAAAAATCAGTCTTTGTACCAAACTGTTGCTACATCAGAGACAAATTATTGAATTATATCTCTCTGACTGCATGCATAGCAACGAAGAATTCATAAATTTTGAATTTGATTAGAGTGATGAGGACAATAGTAGCAACATGATACTTATACCAGTACTTAGATCTTCCCAAAAAAGATTACAAAGTACTACATAAAAGATTTTCTTATGCAATTTGTTTGCAAAAATGATTCTGAATGGACAATATCATCATATTCTGATTGGATAAAATCCACAGCAATCATTGATTTGGTGACAATAGTTTAGCAATTTCAACAGGAATGTTATAACATGTATTTTAATACTTGACAATGTCAATTCTTAGATTTTATAGTTGCAAATTCAAATTGCAACAATAAAATTAAAAATTCTTTTATGCATGTTAAATCAAAGTGCTTGTAAGTACTGAAGGTCTAGATTTGTTTTAGTTTTGTATTGAAGAGTTGAAATTTTAATACTACATAGCAGTAAGCAAGGAAACATATTTGCAAGGTTTCGAACTGAGTTACCTCCCTCTGTCTATAATGTAGTTAGAAAAATATAGATACATTAGATCAAATATTAAATAAGAAAGTGAATTTAGAAAGGTAGAAATGTTTTCTGCTATCTCAATACTAAAACCATACATGTGCACAACAAGCTTTTTTAATGAATTTATTATTATGATATCATTTTCAATATTCTAGAAAGTGTGCCTGTAGAACATAAAACAAAGCTTATAAATAAATTCTTGAATTCAAACAATACAGTCTTAGATTGATATATATATTTGTCAATTCAAGCATATTTTTTTTAATCTTAGTGTATTTTTAAGTTATCATATATAGACTAACTTACTGAGTGTAAAAGAAAAATAGAAAAGATGGAAAACTAACTTCACATATTCTGATATGTATATAAGGTAACAAGATAAAAGGAGGTAATTTGCTAAACAGAATGAGGATTAAAAATAATGCAATGAATGTTAACATCTTTTCATCAATTTATCATCATTTACTTGAAATATTTACTATACAGTAATCATAAACAAAATAAGATACAAATAAAACACTACAATTTTTCTAGAGAAACATATATTCCTTGCATTTCCTTCTATATCTACTTTAAAAGTCCATGTAAAAGAAACATTAGCTAATGCAAGAGCTCAATAATAAAAAAATAATTAACTTGTGACTATGTGACAGTGAAAAATCACTCATGCATGTAATATAGGTCTGATATTTAAATAGTTTCATTTTGAGGCACCTTTTCTATGTCAATATTATTTGCCAGTGAATTCTTAATATGATTAAATATAGCAAAATGCTGTATATTGATTTGTATGATAAAATCTATGACATATATTCCTATTTCCCACATATTATTTAATCAATAAAGCTACCCAAAAAAATTTCAGGTGAATATAGTCATTGCTTTGTCTGTCTATTAATAAATAGATTATGGTTCCTGGATAGTAGCTTCAGTTTCCTTTGCTTGATTGGAATGATTAAAGATTAAAGACAAATCAAGGTATGGGCAAGAAGTCTTTTCATTTTGGGAAGTTCAAGATCACTGTTACTTAAAGTGATTTTTTTTTATTAAAACGGTTTACACATAGTAACAAATTTACACTGACAGAAGACATAGGGAAGGGGAAGAAGTCTATTGATTGTTGGGGTCAAAAGGTCAAAGTTTGAGGTTACTGTTACTAATAATAGATTAATGGATAATGTTTTTAGACATAACTTGAGTTTCCCTTGCTTAATAGGAAAGAATCTTGATACAGATTGACAACAAAGGGAAGAAGAAGAATCTATTGGTTTTGGTTAACAGGTTTAAGTTCAAGGTTACTGCTACTTAAAATAGAATATTTTCTAAAAATGGTTTCTGGATGGTAACTTGAGTTTTCCTCTCCTGATAAAAAGAAACTTGAACGTGTTCATGGAAGACATAGGGAAGGGAAAGTGCCTATTGATTTAGGGGTCAATAGCAAAAAGTTAAAGGTCATGGTTCCTAAATATAAAGAAAGGATTTCTTGAAAATTGTATGCAGACAATATATTTATTACAATTTTTTTATTTTCTCTCTATAAATGTGCAGTTCAGGAAAAAGTGTTGGCAGTGCCAACTCTTCACTTGTTTTTTCATGTTATGCTTGACTATAATCAGTGATGAAATCAAGAAACTTCAATAGGTATTGTAAAAGAAATATATGATGGGTTAGCATTCATGTTTAGGATGCAAATTGATTTTCTTGTAACAAGCTAAGAGATTATACCAATGGCTGCACAAATTTAACATCAACAAGTTATTTTATATGGTCACAATTTAACAAAAATAAATAACTATAAATATTTCTTTACACAAAATATATATATATGAAACAAATCTATTCATATCTAATGTTGCTTATAAATATTGTATACAATCTGTAAATGGCTTGTTAACAGTATTTAGTACACCAATAGATATAAAATTAGTCTAACCAAACTAATAATAATATAAGTAAAGCAGTTTTCAAAGCAAACACTGCCTTAGTTTTGCAACTATATTGAATGAACAAATCATCTACTGAAATATGATATGGCTCTCTCTTTTCATGAACTACTGTCTTTAAATATGTAGCATATAAAACATAGGATATGCCAAAACACATAATTAACAGTGCCTGGTAAATGGCAGAATGGTGGATTACTAGTTGCAGCCTATTTATATAGATCCAGTGTATCAGGTGGACAAAACTTATTCGGCAGAAAATTTGGAAAAAGACAAAATATCATTGATCTATCACATGTAGTTCCTATCAAATCGACTTAAGCAGAAAACTTAACATTGAAAATCGATAATTAATTGAAAGTTGCTGGACCATGACCTAGGTGGCAGGGCCTCGAAATATTTGTCAAACTGATATGTTTTAATTGTAATGCAACTTTATACAAAGTATCATTGATGTATCAGAAGTAGTTCCTATTAAACTGACTTAAGCAGAAACTTAGATTATTGGCGCATCTGTCGTCGCCACAAAAGCCCCCGCAAAAGCAACACCTATAGCTATGTCACAGGCAAGACAAAAAATGCTTGTCCATCAAAAAAGTAATTCTTTATGCAAATGTTTGAACCCCTTAAAAAAACAAAAGCCAACAATTGTAAAAAAAATTTTTGTCAAGTTGTAAATAAAACACATAACTTTTCAAGCATACAATATATACCATGTGAAAGTTAATAAAAAAAATTGGAATCAAATCATATCACCAAATATGATGTATGCACTTTTTTTTACTTTATTTCTAAATATATATGTAGCTACTTAAAATATGTTTACTTTTCATTAAAAATCACATTCAAAGGCAAGTAGAACTCACAATAAATGAGCATATATACAAATGATTGCTTTTAAATTTTTATTACAGTACAATATGAAAAAATCTGATTGTCAGTAGTCCCTGAGATCTTAGGAGTTAAATTTGGAACTATGATAGTTTTCTAAAGGTAATGAAAAATCAAATTAATTTTGAAAAAAGGCTTTCTTCTTCCTAATCTAAACATCATTGATTTTCCTGTGGAGAAGGGATTGTATATATGACTTCTGTCCTATTTCGCAATTCAGAAAATGAAAGAAGAAAGCATATTATGGTATGTTTCCTTATTTTTTTTTGAAAAGAGAAATGAATAGTGAAGTACTTCTTTATCAATAATCATGTACATTAAAAAGAAACAAATTGTGTTTCTTTTAATGTCTGCTGTTCAAACTGTTAAATATGCTGAATGTTACATTATCAAAAGCATTTGTTATAGCAGATAATATGGTTTTAATTAAAATATATTTGTTTGCAGAAAGTAGCACATGTTGACATAAAAAGCAATTTTATAGGGACATTTAAGGGTTTGTAATGGGGGTACCTTCATGTTGAATAACGGTAAAAAATCTTGCCAAATGCATTAATGGTAATTTTTGGAGCATGACAATAAAGGTACATTTTAGATATGACGATAAATTTTTTTACTGATTTTGATGAATCACGTTAATTTTTTTTCCAAATATAACGGTAACAGATAATTATTTGAGACCTCTAATGAATCACAATAAGGATATTTTGACAAATGACGATAAAAATTTAACTAATTTGACATTAACGGTAGCCAAAAATGACAGTATGACGCCTGACGGTAAAGGATATTCCTACCCTCACATATGCACCGCTCTTCACTGGTATGACTACCTTGTATCTCCTGCAGCTAATATTGCAAAAAATAGGCAATTTTAATATCTAACAAATGTGAAAATGTATTTGTTAAACACAAACCATATCAAAGAAATCAGTATCTGGCAAGATCAACTAAAGATGAAACAAATGAGAAAAAAATATTTCCATATATTATCATATTTAGCAAGTCAGATGTTAAACAACAAAACATTTTCAACTATGTGTCATAAAAAAATTGAAAGACATAAACAATATATGTTAAATACAGTGGAATATCTATTAAAAAAAAAAACCCAAAAAAATATGGACTTATAAAGTACATCTTTTAGTACAAGGGGTGTTAATTCAATGATGTGGAACTCTAAATAACAAGAATGGTCCTGTAACCAAAAAGAATTTTGATGTCCCCTAAGTGTTTGAGAAAAGGAAAACCTACAACGAAAACAGATTTTGATGTCCTCTACTTGTTTGAGAAAACGAAAAACCTACAATATCAATATTTAGTGTACAAGAGTCCAAAAATAGAACCAAACCATATCAAACACCCTATCACAACAGTAATCTGTATTAAAAACTTTGTTCTTTCTGATGATGTCACAGATCTACTTAGGTCTCCTCTCATATAGAATTTACCAACCTGAAATATCAGAAAATATTATTATTCCTCTAGACCATGGTACAAAATAATGTATATACCAAAGATTTCATAAATATTTAGTTAGTTGACTAATTGTATCACTCTATTAGTCCGAACTTAAACTTTCTTCTTTTTTTTTTAAATAAATGTCCATAAAATCAAGTTAACCGGTATATCATACAGGTTTTTACTAACACTACGAATTTACCTGCTCAGGTTTGGAATTAAAACTTTTAGCACATGGTATAGGTCAAGGAACTTATATTGCATTGACCTAATCCATCAGACAATTATATTAAATAAATGGAGAATGTGTCTATGGGCCACAGATGCCCCCATTTGTAAAATGCATGAGTCAACTTCCACATACAGATGCAGGATTCACGTAGTTTGGACCGTTTTGAGATTATAAGCATTGTGTATAAGTTTCATAACATTTGGTTGAGGCAAACTAAAGTTAGAGAACGAAAACGACAGATTTAGCAATTTTGCTATTTAAAAAGAGGCATAACTCAATAATGGTAAAAGTGACACCACCCAATTTCAAACTTGATCTATGTTTTGTCGTAATAAGCATTGTGTATAAGTTTTATAACATCTGGTTAGGGCAAACTAAAGTAAGAGAACGGAAACCCACTCCAATTTTGGGGACGTACAGGATGGACGGACGGGACAGACGGGACAGACGGGACAGATGGACGGACAAAGGTAACACTTACTGCCCCTTCCGCTAAGGCGGGGGCATAAAAATACCACATCAAACATGTCAAGTTCTGTTATGTTCCAGGTGGCAAAGTTTTACAGAGATAACAACATGAACAACAGACATGGGCATTTTTGTTATTTAAGACTCGTCTAGCATTGTTTAGTTTGAAGTGAAATAATCCATCTTTTCCATCTCATATAATTAATCAGAGATCAGACGGAGATTAGCTGAATATAGTTAGTAACATTATTCAGGTTGGCTTTTCTCACTGAAATAAAAATGGAGTCTGACAAAAATATCTTTTTTTTACATATGATATGTTTTTATATTTTCGTAGTAAAGTATTCTTTTTGACAGGAATCAAGTACCATCATGACCATATAATACATGTACTTCAAGCTTACCTGATATGAAAAGTACTTCAATCTTACCTGATATGAAAAGTACAATGCAATGAGACCAACTGGAAAGAAACAGAAGACTGAAGCTAAAATAGACCCAAATTTATAATCCTTTGGTTGTCGTCTAACAAAGGCAACTGTTGGAGCTAATCCAGGACCCTGTACAAATAAAAAAGAGGTGTGAATATGAAATGCACTATTTTTCTTTAAAAAGTGAAGATACACAGTATCGAATAATGTTGTATTAATGTACAACTTACTTATTTTAAGTACTAAGTTCTGTAGTATATATGTAGGACTCTAAAAGTGCGATTGGGATGCTAAAGGCGATGGTCACACTAAAGTGCAATGGTCTACGAAAAAGTGCAATTGTTTGATACGCTAAAGTGAGATGGTCTGTGCTATTCAATGGCACACCCTTAAGTCCAATGCCTCAATACTCTAAAGTACATTTTTCCCCAAAAGTGCTACATTAAACAAGCCATTTGTACAAACAAAAATGGGCATGCCAGAAAACAAGAATGTTTGCCCACATGAAGGATTTTTATTAGACCAGAAAACAAAGAGAGAAACAAATAATCCCATTCCGGAACAATTTTTGGACAATGCTGGAAGTAATGTATACTAATTTTTGCTTGTTGAACGACAATGGTCTGATTTATAAACAAAACAATAAACAAAGAAACTGTTGACACAGAGATATGTCTAGCCTGTTGGCATAAATGTCAGAAAAAAAACAATCTGATGGACAGCAATATTGCTAACTATTTCAAAGTGGCTGGACCAACTAGTGGGTAGGGCCTCCAAATGGTTGACAAACTGAGATGTACAGACAGCAATGTAACTTTATAGAAAATATTGTCTATTGTAATAATTAAGTAGTTCCTATTAAACTAACTTAATCAGAACACTTAATATTGAAAATTGTTAATTGATTGAAAGTCACTGGACCATGACCTAGGGAGCAGGACCTTGAAATAGTTGTCAAACTGATATGTACTGATAGTAATGCAACTTTATAGAATATATCATTGATCTATTGCAAGTAGTTCATATCTAGAAAACTTATCATTGAAAATTGCTAATTAATTGAAAGTCACTGAACCATGTACATGTCCTAGGGGCAGGGCCTCCAAATTGTCATCAAACTGATATGTACTGATAGCAATGCAAATTCACACAAAATATCATCTATCTATCACCAGTAGTTCCTGTCAATCTAACTTAAGCAGAAAACTTAACATTGAAAATGGCTAATTAATTCAAAGTCACTGGACCATGGCCTAGGGGGCAGGGCCTCAAAAGAGTCATCAAACTGATATGTAATGATAGCAATGCAAATTCACACAAAATATCATCTATCTATCACCAGTAGTTCCTGTCAATCTAGCTTAAGCAGAAAACTTAACATTGAAAATTGCTAATTAATTGAAAACCACTGGACCGTGGCCAAGGGGGAGGGCCTCAAAATAGTCTTCAAACTGATATGTACTGATAGTAATGTAACTTCGTATAAAATATCATTAATCTATCACAAGTAGTTCCTACCAATCTAACTTAAGCAGAAAACTTAACATTTAAAATTGTTAATTAATTCAAAGTCACTGGACCATGGCCTAGGGGCAGGGCCTCAAAAGAGTCATCAAACTGATATGTACTGATAGTATTGCAACTTCATAAAAAATATCATTGATCTATCACAAGTAGTTCCTATCAAACCAACTTAAGCATAAAATTAACAATTGTTGACACCGTCACCGCAGCCGACACTGCAGCACCAGAAAAACAATCCCTATGTCTTGCTTTCGGTGACTTTCTCGCAAGGCGAGACAAAAACTAAAAGGAACACAGCAACAAATGAAAACCATTTCCTGATCTCCATTCCTGATACACCATCACACTTTAGCGTGCTATACCATCACACTTTAGTGTGTTATACTATCAGAGTTTAGCGTGCTATACCATCACACTTTAGTGTGTTATACTATCCGAGTTTAGTGTGTCATACCATCGCATTTAAAAAAAAAAACAACCATCATTTAGCGTTTGACACCATCACACTTTAGCCTAGACCCTTGAGCGTGACCATCGCACTTCAGAGAACTATCGCACTTTAGAGAACTATCGCACTTTAAAGTCCTACATATATATATTGTCAATCATTTGTGCTGTAGAAACTTTATTATTCTCTAGTCTTATTTTTTTTTCTCCAGTTTGAACTCATTTGCATAAGGTCAATTCTATCTGATGCAGCTCAGATGTAATCAGCATCCTATCTGTAAACTAATGTTTCTTGTTAAAAACTAATATATTACAATATTTCTCATCATAACTTTTATTGTATTTAATGTTGTTTTAGACAATCAAATATGTATATTTAAATTCAAGAAAGTTCATACAACTTTATACAGCAAGGGCTACAAGTGTTAAATCTATTTCAGTGAAAAGGATTTTTTAATCTTTCAATGGTCTGACAATTTAAATACAAAAATCTACAAAATACTGCCGATTTCAAATTAATTCTATATTGTGACTTCATGTAACCTCTTAGTAGTATTGTTTTTTTGTTATCTAGACGAACAGTATGAATACTGACTACAAAGCAAGCGCGTTTGACCAGGCTTTCAAATTATGTGCTGTAGTTTATTTCCTTGTTCAAGTTGGTGGTAATCCTGTTGGTAACTACACTGTGCAGGTTTTTAATCGTATATTTTACTTTTATGACATTTAGTCTAGATAGGCAAAAGAGAAAGTTTGTGTGCAGATAAAACTTGTTTGACCAACCATTTATTTTTGAGCATGTACCAAGTCTGGCTATCTAGACCGTGTGTTGTTTATTGTTGTTGTGTTTGTTTGTATGTCTATTCTGTCTGGTGTAAACCTGTGTTGTTTTAATGTTTATCCAATATCTTTAGTAGTTCCTGTTATCCTATTGATGCATTAGTTTTCTCTAGGAAGTATAAGATTAGAAAATAGCTCTTCTACAACTTAAGTATTAAAGAAATAAAATGACAAGTAAACACTAATATGACACAATATTATCCCAACAAAATATTCCAGCAAAAAATCAAATTTTGTATCGATACAACATGTTTATATCATTTGATCTCAAGTGTTCGTGTGTTTTTGATAAGCTTTCACATTTAATTTTTTGAACGGAATACTTTTCCAGATTTTCCAGTGCAAAATATGAAATTTTAAAAGTCTGTCATACATAAATATTAGACGGAGAATTGGTGCTAAAAGACTTGGATTCAGTATATAAGGACTTCCCAATAGAATTTTCCTGTAAACAAGTCAGAAAATGGTTGGTCCTTTTTTTTTTTTTTTTTTTGATATGAACTTTTTCCTGTTTATGACTGTGATTTTTTAAGTATTTGATACTACATTGTTAAGCAAATTTCTTATTCCTTTTTTTAACATTTAATAATACAATGTAGTTTTTTCACCTTAGGATTCAATGGAGTAGATTCCTGCTGATCATTCATGGCTCCATAACCTTGATTTCGCATTTTGATTGAAGCTTTATCATCAGATCTTTAAAGGGGACAGTATTCTCTGAATGTTATTCATGCATCTACATGGTCTCTGGAAAATAAATAAATTCATTGAATCAAGATATCTAAAATCATGACATAAAAGATAAAGGCATTAGGAATTTTCTTTTTATGAGATATATCACTTTCAGTAAAACTAAACTATTCATTAAAATTGAATTTGAACTGTTGGAACAAAAACTAAGGTCCAAGTCAACTTCAACACAAGAACCAAGTTCTATTTTTTGGCATATTGTGCACTTTGCTTTGAAGAAGATTGAGACACAATGCCATTGTGCTTCCATTGGCAATAAAAACCTTTTTTCTTTTTTAAAGTTTCAGGATAATCTACCAACATCAGTTATCATATGGAAACAATTGAGTCTATGTATGGACAACATCTATAGGGAAAACAGCTTCATTTCACTATACTATTACATTTTTTTTCTTTGGTATATTTATGTTGTACATGTAGACACCTTGCCTACATCATGAATATAGAAGCTAGTTGTTATACTTGATTCTAAATGAAAAAACTACAGGCTATTTAAGCCTAGATTCAAGTTATAGCAGTGGGAACTCTAGTGACAAAATATTACCTTCCCTGTAAACATTGAAAACTAGATATATTCAAGCCTGATGTACATTTTAGCAAGGATGCTATCAATTATAAATTCAAAGGAAAAAGTTCTGGTAAATAGTAAAAATAGAAATAAGTTGAAATAAAGATAAAACTTCCATTTCCCTCCTTGTACAGCAAACAATGGGTACATCAGGCTATAGGAGCTTGATGTAAAATTAATTTTAAATGTTGCTATGGGAATAAATTCCTGGAATACCAACATCGATTTATTTTTCTACTTGCTGTATACCTCTCTGGACACAATGCTGGAACATGCTAATTATCTGTATATATATGCAGCTAGATCAGAGAAGTTCAGGGAAAAAATTTCAATGGAAACGATTGATATGCAGCAAAGATTAACTCTTTTGAAATTAAGTTACTAAGCAAATTCAAACAGACCTTGTCATGATATAAACATTGAATGTGAATAGGTCGAGAAGACTGCAAATACATGAACAAAAATCAAGAAGACCTTTTCTTAAAATTGTATAAAAAATAGTTAAAAGATACCTACTTTATTAAAATATTTTTCATTAATTTTTCAACCTGCACAGACAGCTAGACTTTTAAATAGTTATATTCACGAAAAGACAATATTTCTATATTGAATGTTCACGTGACAAGTACTTGAAAACTTGGATGTGAAAAATAAATATATTTTGGGAAATTGTAACATGCAAAGGACTTTGTGGAACACTCCAAAAATTGGTGATTTTGTATGTACACGATTTTCTCCAATATTTTTTTTTTATCAATATGCACATGATGCCCCTAACATGAATTTTCATTGAAAGTTTATATACATGTAAAAATCATCTTTCACAGCAAAGTATCATTTTAAGTTCAATTATGCTCTATATAGATTTAATCAATTATCTAACATTTCTATATCAGGGCAAAAAGATCAGTGTGAATCAACACAGGTAAAACAACTCAGGGTGCTAACAACAATCAGGGCAAAATGACCAAATTACCATGTGAGCTCAAGATTCAAGAATTTTTTTTTAATGTCAAAGCTCAACTTGGTGATATGTATTAATACATTTTTATTGGCTTTTAACAGTACTTCTTTTTTCCAATTAGTCCTTGTCACAACACACCTTATCAAGTTATGGCTATTTGTCTGCCATTACTGGACATCACAAAGGTTCCCGTAAAATTTTGACATCATAATAGAAAATATCTGATGCCATGATGGAAAAGTGATTATTGTATGACGTCAAAAGTTCAAGTTGCGCACATTCTCAGGTCAACCGGCGCAGATTTCCAAATAGCGATAAGGTGTACTGTATGTCCATACTGAAAAATTGATAAGCCAACTAGTGCTTAGAAAGCATAAAAACCTGGAATTTGTCTGTGACTTCTAAAATATAATTATTCCCCTTTTTGAACTACATGTTACGATGTAAAAACTGTAAAAACGGTAAAATGTTACTATTTATATGAATGTTTACCCATTTATGAGGATCTTCCCCAACCAGGTAAAGGCATCCTCCTGTCTGTGGTAAGGATTCATTAATAGTTAGGGTTAAAAATAGGTGTAGGGGTCATTTGGAGCAACCATGTCAAAGAAAATTGTGACATGAAGATATTTGCTTTCTGACTTCAAATTTTTCCGGTAAAATGCGGAAACTTGTCTATGGGTTAAGATTAGTTTAGTACAACTCTTTATGGAATGGGATACCCTAAACAGGTTGGGGACAACCTGCCAAATGGGGAGTAGATATTTTTCTAGTGCTAAAAATAACTTGCTTTCAATTTGTTGTATTGTTTGCTCTAAGTACGCTTTTTCCCAAAGCAGATCATGTGTAAATAAACTGATTTACGACTGCTTTCCTATTTTCGCTTAGAAACTAAATACATAAGGAACAGTCAAATATGCTAAAACACGTTAAATAAATCCGTAAACAGATCACTCAATAGCAATAATAAACCTGTTAACCCTAATTCGTTTCCAAAAATCTAAACAACCCTAGCTTGTTACGGGAAGAACAATGATCAAAAAAGGTCTTCTTTCCCAGATGTAAGGTAGTAAGGGTATATGAACAAAACAAAACAAAAACACATTGTTTTATCACTTTCTCAAAATGTAGTTTATATCGCGCTATTTTCAAAAAATAGAATAAAAATGTTGATACCACGTACGCTTGTTTTTAAGCTAGATGTTCAGGGAGCAAAGTTTTCTTATCTGAGAGGATGACATGTGAAACAGCACTGTAACAACAAATGGAAGTTTTTAACGACCTTGAACAGCACTGTTTATGGGTGTACAAGGATTTGTATAGTAAGGGAGCTACCATTTGATTTTTATGGGGGGGGGGGGGGGGGCTAGGATGAAAAATTGTGTCCTGCATTTTTTTAAGTTGTAATCTCGGTCCTGCCTTTTTTTTATTAGTTTATCCTGACTTTTTATACATAATTTGTCATCCTGCCTTTTTTTTTTTGCCAAGTTGCTCATCCTGCCTTTTTTTTTACTCAAAACTTCTGTCCTGCCTTTTTTTCAAATTTCAAATTTCATCCTAGCCCCCCCCCCATAAAAATCAAATGGTAGCTCACTAAGACTAGATTATTCAGGGTAAGACTACTTAGTAATCTATATAAATCATTGGTGTGTACATGAAAACTGAAATACTATATGTAAAGGGGCATTAGCTACGATTTGGACAAAACAATTAAAATGCGATTCTTTTTGTTTCAAGTATTAACAAAAGTGAAATCTTGAAATAATATTTCGTTATATTCAATGCAATTAGTTTGGCCCTTTGTCAAAACAGAGACGTATATATGTCTCTGGTCAAAATCAGCTCAAAACATCGCTAATGAATTAATTATACAAGTCAATAATTTAACCTACAGTTGAATCCGTAATCATAATTTTATGACCTTCAATTTAACCCCTTAACTGGAGATGGCCGGTTGGTAACACATGTACAAGCGGTGTTCAGCCATTAGGGACCGGTCATTATTTATCTCCAAGGGGGGGGGGGGGCGGCAAAATGTAAATTTGAAATGATAAAAAATGATTGACCCCCCTTTTCAAAATGTGTTAAAAAATTTAACCCCCCCTCTTTCAACTACATAAAAACTTTTGACACCCCCCTCCTCTTTTCTGATTATAATTGAAAGGTTTCAAATGATTCAATTATTATATGTTGCTAATATTCCTTTTAATACACATACACAGAGAATGCATTGAGGACGACATCTGATAGAAGAATACACTGATGTAAGGGACCGTTCAATATTTACCAGATGGATGGGCCGGTGCATTCTTAATATTATTTCATTAAAAAAGTTAATGCCCATCCTTTTAAATTCTACAAAAAAGTCCTTGCCCATCTAAAAAAAAACTATAAAAAGAGTCCTTGCCCATCTAAAAAAAAATATAAATAGAGTTCTTGCCCCCTCTAAAACTTAAAAGACAATCAAAAATGATTTAGGTTCTTTTTCTATTTTAATATTTGCATGTTTTATATGTCTGGAAATCAAAGAATAGACTTTGGTGTATAAATACAAAATTCAAAATGTGCTAGTTAATTCCACATATATATATATTTATGTGTGTATCAGAAACATACATTTTATTCATTTTAAAACCAGTATGAATATACATGTATAGATTTGATTTTATATGTGCAGCCTCAGATATATACAATATCACAATTAAATCTCAAGACATAAGTAATAGCATACTATATCAGCCAGCCTTTCATAGAGGCTTAAGAAGTGCTAACAATATTCATGCAAGTCATAAAACATATGAAGAAATATTAACCATACTATTAAACAATCTAATTAAAATTAAATCCTTTAATTGCTCCCGTTCTGATATGTCGCGCGTATCAGAACGGGAGCAATTAAAGGATTTAATTTTAATTAGATTGACTATTAAATGTACTTTAATATAAATAGTTTATATTTTTCTGAAATCTGAGGTCATCTTAAATTTGAAACAGTTTAATGTATCTCTTCTTACGTCCTTGTTCTATTAAATAATTGAGGGTCACCACTTTTTTCCCCTTTTGTGACCATAGGACATAAAGATTTATTCAAACTATTGTTAACAATCAAAAAAATATCAACTAACTATCCAATTTGTATACAATTTTCAAAATACCATATTATTTAAAAATAAAGGGAATAATTTAAATTAAGGGACAATAACTCTTAAGACAAGTAAACATATTACCATATGCTGAATTACCAATTATTTTCTTAATAATAGAGCATTCTTATATTTCAAATATACAATGTCCCTTTATCTATTCTACTTTTCAAGAAAGAAATTATGGTCTTTTTAAAGCAATTTAGGCAGACATGTTTTTGACTTTGATGCAGCTTTTTTTATCTATTAATTAAATCCCAAAGGCGGATTTAGGGGGCAGGGGGCCAGGGCCCCCCTTTTTGTGGGAAAAATTTAGTTTCTTATATAGGAAATCACTGAAGCATGACTGGAGCGGCCCCCCCCTCTTAGTTAGTCAGTGGGCCCCCTTTTATGAAAATTTCTGGATCCGCCACTGAATCCCTAAATTTGTCAGCAATACGTGTACACCAAACTACCCAACAACCTGGCATTCTGTAAGATCAATATATAAATGAGATGGCTGTAGAGTTTTATGAAAATCAAAGTTGATTTGGAAACGTTACACCAATTTTTAAAGACGACTATCTGAATTTAGCCTAAACTGAAAATTGTAGCTTCTTTTACCTATTTACTAAATCCATAAAAATGACAACAATAAACCAAAGTACCAAACAACCTGGTATTCTGTAAGATCAATATGTTAATGAGATAGTTGTTGTAGAGCTATATAAAAATCCAAGTTGATTTGAAACTTTATACCAATTTTTAAAGATGACTATCTGAATTTAGTCTAAATTGAACATTTAAGCTTTTTTTAACCTATTTTTTAAATCCATAAAAATAACAGCAATGCACCAAAACTACTAAACAACCTGGCATTCTGTAAGATCAACATATAAATGAGATAGCTGTAGAGTTATATGAAAATCTAAGTTGATATGAAAAAGTTATAAAAAAATTTAAAGGTGACTATCTGAATTTAGCCAAAACTGAAAATTGTGGCTTTTTTAACCTATTAACTAAATCCATAAAAATGACAGCAATAAACCAAAGTACCAAACAACCTGGCATTCTGTAAGATCAATATGTTAATGAGATAGCTGTAGAGTTATATGAAAATCCAAGTTGATTTGAAAATGTTATAAATTTTTTTAAAGATGACTATCTGGTATTAACCTAAACTGAAAATTTAAGCTTTTTTTTAACCTATTTATTAAATCCATAAAAATGACAGCAATACACTAAACTCCCAAACAACCTAGAATTCTGTAAAATCTATATATGAATGAGATAGGTGTAGAGTTTTATGAAAATCCAAGTTGAATTGAAAAAGTTATAAAAATTTTTAAAGGTGACTATCTGAATTTAGCCTAAACTGAAAAGTTGAGATTTTTTTTCTTACTTATTAATAAAATCCATAAATTTGACAGCAATACACCAAACTATCAAACAACCTTGTATTCTATAAGGTCAAAATACAATAGATAAGAAAATCCAAGTGGTTTTGAAAATTTATATAAACTTTTAAAAGTGACTATCTGAAATTAGTCCGAATAGAAAATTCTAGCTTTTGTATTCTTTAATTAAATCCTTAAAATTGACAGAAATTAACCAAGCTACCAGTTTGTTGAGACCATGTCTTTTATGTTTTGTGTGCCTGCAAAAGAAATTTCCTACACACTGATAAAATTGATAGCAAAATTTTTCCTATAAGATTAGTTCTGGCCCTTCCACTATACATGTAAAAAAAATCATTCATATATTTATTTATAGTGGAAATCTATATGAGGTATATTTAAATATGGAATAAAAATAAAAATAAAATGCTTTGAAAATGTCTTTCTAGAATATTTTTCTGTACACATAAAACAACAGTTTGTAAAATATATGAGTTCATCTTGAAAAATAAAAATGGTGTCACCTTCAAAAAGCAAAGTCTACTTTTGCTGTGGTGAAGCCAGGATTATGAAACCAATTTTATAGTCTCTATTCCTAGTTTCTTAGTTCTATAACATCATGGCTAAGAAAAACATAAGAAAAGTGACTTATTTTGCACATTTTTTGGTAATATTCATTAGTCACTTGACAATAAAATTCGTCAAAGAGTAAAGTGACTAGCTCTAGGTAGATCACTGATAGTGACAGTTTGATATTTGTGAAAGAGTCAAACTAGGAGACAAGTTAGCTCTGACTATACATGTATAGTCTATGGTCATGGTACATTGTATATGGCGATCAATGAATCTATGGCCAATAAACTCATGACCCCCCTACTAGATCAACCTGAAAAAGAATGACCCCCCCTCTATCAGATTCAATTTTTTTCATGACCCCCCCCTACTTTTTTGCCGCCCCCCCCCTGGAGATTAATAATGACCGGTCCCTTAACAGGAAAAGAATGTCAACATTGAAAGTGAAATAAGGTGAACCATTTCTTTGCCAGATTCGATTCACAAAAAAATATTCTTATACAGGTAAACACGACGATAAACGTTTATTTTAACCTATAA